CTTTTCAAAAGACATGATTCCAACAGAGAGATGGATAATAAGACCTTTTGCCACTGAACTGTCAGAAGTGAAAGAAGATGACCCAGCAATAGAGGAGCTGATTGATCTTCAGTCAACAGCTCCTCACATAAACAAGCTGACTGACTCAATGAATCAGCAGTGTTCCCACTGATAATGTTTCTGGTGTTTCTGTTTCGTTTTATTTTTTGTGATAAAAATGGACTGTATAATTTTTTCTTTAGAAAATAATGTTTTATTTTCTTTATTTTTGGTGATACGAATGTATATTGCTATTTTTTTGCAAAACCTGAATAATATTTTTTTTTTTGACCTTTTTGTTTTTCTGTCCCTTTATGATTGCTATGAATTTTTTATATGGAAGTAAGGGGGTAAATGGAGAAATACATCAAGCCGAAGGGTTAATGATGGAGGAAAAGTTGAGAATCCCTGGACTAAAAGACGGTGCAGGAAAAAGCGAACCTAAATTTTCTCCAGAATGTCGATAAGAATGGAGGCTATTTCACTTAATAAATGTTTTGTTTTGATATATAAGTTGTTCAGGTTTTTTCATCTAAAAAAAGCAACATTAATTTCTTGATGACCTAATATAAGGTTTTATAAAACAAATGTTGTATGATAAAGTACCGGTATTAATGTAAAAGTACAATGTTGTAAAAAGATGCTGTGTTGATGATAAATGGACGCTGAAGAAATGATTGAAACTAACAATCTATCATTAAAAAGAGAGATCAAGAGTGCTTTGTTGTAGAAAGGTATGTTGATGATAAATGTATGATGAAGAAGTGATTGAAGCTAACAGTGCTAACATTAAAAAGACAGTTCAAGAGTACTTTGTTGTAGAAATGTGTTGTGTTTATGATAAGTAGATGCTGAAGAAGTAATTGAAGCTAATAGAAACTTAAGACAGGTCAAGAGTAATTTGTTGTACAAATATGTTACATATTTTCATTGATTTTAAAAGCTACTTTAAAAGTACATATGGGAATAGATGCAACAGAAGTATGCACAAATTACTGTTGTAGTAAGATGTTGTGAAAGGAGGTAGCAGAACTTTATAAAATATGCAAAAATACATCAACTGCAAGAGTAAATACTAAACACATACTTTAATATATCCTGTTGTATAAGGTTGTTGCAAGAGTAAACGTTTTAACATAAAAATTACCATTCACTCTATAATAAGTTTAGTCATTGTCTTACCCTTATGCAGTGACTCCCTGGTGGTAAGTTTCTCAACATCAAATTTGTTTTCTGCAAAAAAAAAATACACGTAACAGTCCTTAACTTTTGACAGGTATGTTATGACACTGTTGCTCAACATCCCCCATAAAATGAGTTTCAAACTATATTGTTGTATTATATAGATATGAAATATTTGTGACTGAGAAACAAAGTCAATGTTTTAAAGTTGAAATTACCAAACTGGACATTAATTATTAGTAAATTCACACTACCAAGGAGAGACCTAGCAAATTTGATCATGACCTAAACTGCATTTGATGAACTACTTTCTGCATGATATGAGGCTGCATGTGCTGCCATGTTGATTGGAGGTTGTTATAATTCAGTGGCATGCTGTGAACATGTCTCAGTTTAGCCAGCCAAACTGTTCTACTGGTAGAAAAACAGTACAACTTAGTCAATATAAATCAACTTTTACTGTCTAATTTTGTCAACAAAGAATCAAGATACAGCATCAAGTCTGTTAAAAGCCCTCATGTATTGTTTGGTGGGGACTGTTTACAGCCCTTTTGCATTTTTCAAATGTTAAGGACTGATGTAATTATGAACTACACATCAGAGTTACATGTAACATTATCAGAAAATTCTAAATAGCCATATTTTTCAATGGTAAATATAAAACACAGCAAAGAGTTTATACCAATCAATAGATATTAGTTAATTTTAAGTACTAAAGTTAGAAAAATTTGGTAGTATATTACAAGTTGTATATAGTATCGTGTTATGTACAGTATCTAGATACTGTTTAAGTTCATTTTACTGGATTTACTCAATATGCTTGGCACATAATGATAAATATTATTTTTATTAACTAATATACTGTCTTACAAGCTATTCCTAGAATCATAGCCATGTTTTTACAGTAAACTTTCATAAAATTTATCAACATTATCCATATTTTCTAGAATTCAATGATAGAATACTAAAATGACAAAGTTATACCTCAGTTTTTGATTACTGGAAAAAAGGAGTTAATCTTCAAAATGTTCAACATTTATGGTATATATATATATATATATATATATGAATCACAAGCACAAAGTTTTTATTATTCAAGTCAACCAGAGTCTGTTTCTTACTTTTATTCTTGACTTTTTTATTAGTAGTTCAACATCAACTGTTCCAAAATAATTGCATGTGGTACTGCTCACATTTGGAAACAGAATCACAGTAAACTCCTTATACTGACATTTTTCATTTTCATAGTTAATTGGGGTGAAAAAAAACCTTATACCAGACCTGAAAAGTAAAAGTATTAAATGAACATGCATATGAAAGAAACAATGACAAATGACTTGAAAATTCACATTCATAGTAGATACTGCATGAAGATAGGAGTATTTTGAATACTTAATGTTAAAATGTACCATACATTTCTTATCTGATTCTTACACATTTGGCATTAGGCATAGAGATTAAAACTATCTGATGTTTCTTCCACTTTACTTTGTTTAATAATCCTCATTCAAAAACCCTTAGAATACTTTTTCCTAAAAAAAAACGTTACATGATCATATCATATACTGCTTTTTTTAAGTTTTTCTTTCAGGCATTTTCTTAATCCTTTTCATTTATATGAAAGGCTGTAAATGAATTTCATTTTGCCCTCAGTTACAAGTGTCTAGTCTTATCAAGTCTGGCAAGTAAGCTAGTTTTGTTTATTAAACCCTATTTTTGAATTTTTCTTCTCTCAGATAAGGTTTTTTTCATAACAGGTTATGCCTCATTTAAATATCATTAACTGATAAAACAGAATGAAACTAATAACATTATTCATTCTTGTGTGCTGCCTGCCCTCTGACAAGATTTGTTAAAGAAAATAAAATTCACAAACTATATGTTTAGTGAGATGTTTATGTATAAGTAAGAAAACTAGTAGATAATAAAAGTTACTTCTTGTTCATTCCATAACTGCATTCTGCATTTCATAGACTATAAGTTATTTGCTCATACACAAGAACCTAGAACCAGTTTAGTTTGAATAAGTTGTAACAGTGAAGAAGCTGGTGAGTATGTGAAAATTATCCCACTAACACAAACAATGATTTAATCCATAATAATTCTGAACTACCAGCTGAGGGAGGGACATTTAGTCTTGACTGCAGCTTGAGTCCTCTTTTCATAAGTTGTTCTAATCACCATAGGAGCTGAAATCATGAGTTTTTCTGGAACATGTACTGAATTTTTTTATTACTTTATCAGAGTTAAGCTGTTCTGGAATTCTTGCCATTTTGCAACTTTTATCATATGAACTTAAATGTTTATCTCTAAGCAATGAGCTGAAATTATTAAATAAAAGTAGATAAGCTAGCTCAGAGACCCCAAGTGTATTAATTGTGTCATTGTCAGATGCAAAGCTTACTTTATTCATCTTACTGAAATTCCGTACTCTTTTAACATGCCATTATGATGTTGCCATCAATTAACTATCACTACAGCGCTGGAAGGCTACGCCTTTTTTTTTATAATCTGAAAGTCATGGACAATATATTAATGTTAGGTGCAGTAAACAGCTTCTGTTTCTAGTACATTGTTTGATGAATCATGTGGGTCATATTTATCTTCCCTTACCTTTATTAACTAGTATTAATATCTAAGCGACTTCTATTTGATAGTGTAATATTGAAAGCCAAGGTTTAACATTACAGCCACTTTTGCTGTATATATAGAAATTTTATCTTTATAAGTGGTAAGTTCTCTGCTGATATTTATTTTATAAATAATGTTATTCATTTTCAAGATCAATACATGATAAAAATATTATAAACATCATAGTTAAAAGAACTGCTAATTTCAACTTCCACAGCTAGTACAGAACACATCTTTATTCAGGGATATTATAATTTTTCTGCAGGTGTTCTCCATGTAGCTGGTAACTTCCAAGTGAATATGTGAAAGGCATAAACATGTACTAATCCTCTTCCTTTGACAAAGGTTACATATAACAACAATTGTTGTTTACGATTTACACCTCTAGGGTCTTGTTCCTGTCTCTATCCCATAGAGTGGGAGTATGATGACTTCAAGGGATGATGCAGAAACTTGTAGAAGTTAACATGAGCTGTGGTTTTCTCCCCTGTATATGCTTATTTGGATTGGTTTTTGATGCAAGTAAGGATTGTGGGATACTGCATTAGGACCTAGCCTAACTTAAAAGTGTAATATTACAATATTTTTGCTTTGGTTCTTGTCCAGTGTAGAAGTATTTAGAATTATCTCCAGCCTCAGCAGCAAGTAATAGTCATTCAATGAAATAAGAAGCTGGCCAGTAGATGAAAAAAATTACATATTACTGTATTACTGATAATGTAAAAAATTGTGTTATCTTACTCATCTTCTAGTCTTTCATAAAATACTTTGGCATTCCATTTGTCACATCCTTCTTTTTTTCCTTCTGAATAGAGAAAAACTTGAGTTAAGTTCAACAATCCATATTTGATAAAATTCTCGATGCTAATGTTACATGTAAAATAATGCACCAACTAACAAGGATATGAAATGATAAAGTAGTTGGTTTCAATTTTATACCTTATTCAGGAAAAATAAAACTTTGCTCTATATACATTGAAAGAACTTGTACAATACTGAAAACCTGTTATGTTCCTATATAATCAGAGTTCAGACTATGTCCACATATATATTTTATTATTCCAGGAGAAACAGCAAAAGACTGTTCAGTTTTAATCAATCAACACAAAATTTACCAGAGGCAAGAGCTGTTAGTAAAAACCACTATGTGATAATAGTGTTGCGTCAGTGAGTCACATGACTAGTGTGATACCACGTTTCTAGAACTATCCCGTACCTTGGCGAATGCTCTAGTATTTACTAGATATAGGGTAGTCTGGTATATAAAAGAGGGTGACAACGTGACGGGA